TGAAATCTTACCTGTTTATAAATCCATTATGAGCAGTGTACAAAATCGTCAGGACAATATGATCACTACAGCAAAATTATAGTATTACTTGTATTATTATTATTATTATTTTTATTATTATTAAAAGGGCTAAATAGTCGCTTCATTTAAGCCATTAGTAATCGCACATTTATATTTAATTAAACTATTAAATTAACTTAAACTAAACTATACTAAACGAGCGTTTTATAGGCTATAGCCTATTCTGCACTCAAGCGGATCGCATAAATAGCTAGAACATATTTTATTTAGGGGACTTATTACTAAACTGTTTTCTGAGTGAGCGTCTGCAAAGATGAAGTTGACGATGCTGATGAACGACTTTATTCTCGAAATTTTATTTTTATTCTCAATATTTTATTTCTATATTTTTCTGGATATTTAATTAGTTTAATCTCGCATTATAGGCTCCGCGCTCAAGCGGATCGCATAAATAGCTAGAACATATTTTATTTAGGCTACTTATTACTAAACTGTTTTCTGAGTCAGTGTCTGCAAAGATGAAGTTGAGAGATGCTGATGAACGACTTTATTCTCGAAATTTAATTATTTTTATTCTCAATATTTTATTTCTACATTTTTCTGGATATTTAATGAGTTTAATCTCGCATTATAGGCTAATGACTTTATTCTGGAGATGTTTTTTATTATTGTTTGGCCCTATAATCCTCTTTCTTACTCTCTCATTTGGCACGAATCCAAATGTTTCCATATTCACAATGTTGGTTATTTATTAGGCCTATGTAAACCAGGCTTTGTACTTAACCCGCTTTCCCCCCCCAAAAAAAAATCATGGTGGTCTTCACATGAAAAATCATCCTCTTCACATGAGCAAATATGTGCTTGGCCAGAGCTCAGGCTGAACGGCACGGATTGTACTACAGGCCGTTTTAATAAACCAGTGTATCTAGATTCTATAGTGTATCTATATGTTTGGTTGACTGCATTTTATTCTGATAATGAACAGGCTGCAGCGTTTGCAATGCAGTAGGACTATATGAAAGGTGCATTTCTCTCATACTGCGGAGATGACTAATCAGCATCGTCAACTTCGTCTTTGCATAATAATAATAATAATAATAATAATAATAATAGCCTACAAGGAAGGAATAACTGACAACGTGCCGTTGAATTACAGAAAAAAAAAAAGCCAAGGTACCATAACGAAGTTCTTGTTTGGCAAAATTAATATAAGGCGTTCTGTGTCTGAAGACAAGTTAAATTAGAACAAGTTCAATAAAACATCTTTATTATATTTCTACGGTAGAGGAGCCTAGCCAAACCAAAAAGAAACAAAGAAAACACAATGTAACATTCATGAAACCGTACACAATGGAATGCGCACATGTGACTGGGGCTAGTGCCATCTAGTGGTCGGTGATTTTCTGTGGCTCAGCTGCGCGTCGATCGCGAGCTGTGTGGATTGGGCAAGGCTAAAAGGGCGGAACGAAAGTCAATGCAGAACAGAACATTTTCTGCACAATCATTTAATCCCGAGTTCCACAGACTCAAATTGAAAGGTATTTGTTTGTGGTTAGTAAGATACATGTATAAAATGTATGCAGTACATGGATAATTGTGCGTGCATCTATTAATCATTTAGAGTCTAATATCATCCCATACATGAGCTGCTGTTGTTCTGATCTGGGTTTTGCGTCACCCTTCAACCCCTCCCAGGATTCTGGGGCCCCATGAAACACCCACACACTTAGTATCAGTGTTGTAGGCCTCCTCAAGTCAGTTCTTCAGAGTCAACTTCAAGGTGCCACACATTAGTTTGCAATTCATCAGAGAATGCTGCAAATCCATTGTCTTCTAGATGGACTGCTGTGTAGGGGAAAATGCAAGGGTTTGTAAAAGTGATATTCCATGTGGCCAAAAATTACTCTTAGATAGGCATCCAGCAACCAATGAGAATTTCAGAGAGATTGGTCCAGTTGTCTGTTAGGAAATCCAATTTGCTCTATTCCCACTTGATTTCAGACTGACCTGGATCTTACACTTTCGTAGTTGTCAAACGCTAGGTCAGAGTTTTCTCTAGTGTGTAAGCACTAGTGATGCTGTGATCCCACTTTTTTTTTTTTCCTTTTCCTTGATACTGCTCTGAGACAGATGACAACATGTGTCAGTGCGGATTTATGCCTAGTAATGCAGAACAGAGTGCAATGCATGCAGACTTGTATATATTTATTTACGTTTTCAATCATTTCAATTTTAATGTTGCTTAATTATTAAATTGTTACAAAAAAAAAAAATTGTTACAAGAAATTCTCTTTTAAACAATTGTAGTTTCTGTTCACTGTTTTGAACTATTTATGAATAAATGACATTTTAAAATATAATCAAATAGAAAAATGTATTCTTTTTGAGACTTCTTTTAAAAGATTAAAAAATTTTACTGACCCCAGTAGTGTTTGCAGAGTGGAGAATTATTTGAGAGCAGCAAACTTGAATTCCAGCTTGTTTGTCATTCAGGGCTATCATGCAACTCCAGAACACTTGGAATATAACGCATGATTCGTTTCATGTGTTTGAACAATTATGACTTAAGTTAGTGTTGGATTTGCATGCCTGGTGCTCATTCCTTTTCAAAACGCCCCCAACGTTCCGACACTTTTCCTGGTATCAGATCGGTGTGTCCCTAGTAATCACTCTTAATGTAGATAGATCTTTTTGTCTAATTCACCTCTGTATTCCACAACAGGTCTGTGATTGCTGCGCCATCTGGTTGTTTCAAACTCTAACTATCGGCTCATTTAGCTCACTAGGTTTTAAAGCACAGCCACTATGTGTGAGGGAGGGAATGATCATGAGGTTAAGCTGTGTGTGTAAGTGTGACAGGAATGGACATCCTGAGCTTAATCATGTTTTGGCAGCAGCAGTTTAACCTCGTCTGGAGCTGCCAGCTATGAAAGAGTCTGTTTAAAACGATCTTACTGTGTGCATGTGAGTTCCTGTTACAATGAAATGTAAAAATGTCTGTTTGTTGATTTTTCTCATGATATTTGGCAACTGAATTTAGGGGGAAGTGCACTGGAATATGGCATCTCACGTGAATGAAGGGAATGTTGCATTTCGTGACTTTTTGTCTGTTTTTTCTCTCACTCAGCCATTTCTAATCTGTTTGTCTTTTTTTTTTTCTACCTGCAGAGATAACCAGAGTGAGGAAAGACATGTATAACGACACAGTGAACGGTCTGGTGGACAAACACCCCCTGGAGTTACCAGAGCCAGTGGGACCCATCGTACATCTGCAGGAGAAACTCTTTGTACCTGTCAAAGAGTATCCAGATGTAAGTCTCAGACCTGCACTTTCTACATTTTTCTGTTTTATGATGCTGCTGATCCTTTTAGAATGAAGCACAGCGATTGACTGTTACTGTAGTGACAGATGATTGACAATATAGTGTCTGATGAAATCTAGAGGTGAGAAGGTTTACTCTTGGTTCTCTAGCAGAAGGAAACATTTTTGGGTGTAAATGAGGACTCTGTCATAAGCTAGTTCAGCAGTAGTAGTTTTTATCAGGCCCCTGCAGGGAGCTGGGAATGGTGCCGAAATGCCACAGGCCATGTTTTAGTAGTAGAGTGGGATCTTTTTGGAGTTTGTTCTACGTTGAAGAGAACGGTTTCCACCTGCGCACACAAAATGTAGCTTGACGTTTAGATGATCATGTTTGACATTTCTCTCATATTCACAGACAGAATCACACACATACTGGTGGCCCATGTCACACAGTGAGCAATTTTGCTGCCTAATTCTTCTGCTATGTGGACAAGGGAGATGGGAGGAAAGAGAAAAGGGGGGTAAGCAGAGCATGAAATGCGTTTTCCCTCTGACGGCCTTGATAAAGGCCACCCCACCTGTCCCAGCAGACCACCACACACACATACCGTAACCCCAGTTTTCTCTGAGTCTGAAGCAGAGTTAATTATGATGGAGGCTACTCTCTGCTTATCTTTATTTTGTGCAGAATGTTTTTTTTAAATTGGCCTTTTACTTTTAAGCACTTCCTGTAATGATTGCTGCTTTACTTGAGAAATATGTTCACCTCTGTATGACCCAGAAAGCTGAACGTTAAGGTAATTTTACTGTAGGTAAAGGGGGTATTGTTAGGAATTATGCAAATTTGATCAGGGGAAAATTGAAGTTTAGGTGTTTTATGCTCACCAAGACTGCATTTATTTGATCAAAAATACAGTAAAACAGAAAAATGATCAAACGTTATTATAGTTTTTCTATTTTAATATGTTGTGAAATGTAGTTTATTCCTGTGATGGCAAATTATCTTGTATTGTCTTTAAGTTTTAAGTTAAGTATTTAGATGTTTAAGAGTGTGTTCATGTGACGTCTGTCTCAGAATAGCAGGAACAGCTACTGGAAAACATGGCTGACCAGTATAGAATAAACACCACACACACACACACCAGTGTACATAGAATCCCCAGCTGACCCCCTCAAATCTATTTCTCTCTCATTGTGTTCCCTGCAAGTCTCGCCTCATTATTCTTCCCCCTGGTGGTTAGCATGAGTCACTGTTTCACAACACACACAGACGTTTCCACCCAAATGTTCTAAACACGCAGGGAAACGAAGAATAATTGCAGCCGTTACTGAGCAGGAAAACGCTAGCATTTACTAAAGTCACAGTCTCTCTGATTTGCTCTTTCAGGCAGGTGACTTGGCTTGGTCATCCAATCAGCATCTTGATTGAGAATAAAGTGTTCATGACTGGTGATTCGGAGGTGTTGATATTTAAGTAATGATTTCTCAGTTGCCTTTCAGTCAGATGGAAGATATTTTATTGGTGTTTTATAACGTAAACTCGCTGTATATTAAACACTGTGGTTTGACACCTGATCTAGTTACAGTTCCAGGAATAAAGGGAGCTTGCTTTACATTTTGAGCTCAATTCACAATTCTAGTATATCTAGTATACTTATACTGTAAAAGGTTATTTTAAAATGAAGTCTAATGGCGGAGAGAGGTCTCGTTTAAAGTGTCGAGTGAGAAGGGGAAAGCATGCAGGAAGAACTGCATGTAGGCCTGGGCGATAAAACGGTATCAATATTTATCGACAGTACACCTTCTTCGATAACGGTATAAAAAATGTTCGATATAGTGCACAATAGGGCTGCACGATAAATCGAAATGGAATCGAAATCGCGATTCGACAGAAGCTGTGATTGTCATGCGTATCTTTCAGTGAAGCATGGTTCTGTGATCAGCAGTAAATCTCCATCCAAAGGCCAGAGGGCGCTCTCGCGCTGAAACTCCAAATACGCCTCGCAGACGAAACCCAGGAAATGCCTATAGCGGCAGCTGGATAAACAGAAGATTTAACTGCTTTTATTGATTCAAAGTGACTAATAAACACACGATTATGACAATATATGGTTTATCTGGGTTATTATTATTATAATTTTCATTAAAATAAAGTATATTTATAATACAATGCCTCAATCACTGCTTAGAATACTATAAAATATGTTGCTTGCCTTATTCTGTGTAAGAAGTCACATCATCTCACAGAAAGATTTATTTCAAACACTCGACTGACGTTATGAAGTGAGTTTGGAGTAAAAATATGTTATTAAATGTGGTATTTTCACATGCTTTCAGATGGAGCTGCATTTACTACACAGAGCCGTAGTTCACGGAGAAGCTATGCAAACAGCTGTCATTATCGCGAACGATTTCTTCGATTTCATAATCGCGCAATAAAATCGTCTGGGTTTTTTTTTTGTTTTGCGTAACTTGTCCGTGAACTACGGCTCTGTGTAGTAAATGCTGCTCCATCTTAAAGCATGTGATGATGCTTTACTGCTGATTGCTAGGGCTGGGTATCGATTCAGATGTCCCGATTCGATTCGATTTCAATTCGCAAGCTCTCGATTCGATTCTCGATTTTTTTATATTACATTCAGTGAATATAGTTTTAATACAAATGCTATTGATATTTCTAAAAAATGTGGTGAATTAATAAAAAGAAATTAAGAACCACATGCCT